CTCAGTATTTACAGTAGAAACCGTCAACATGCCTCGGATGTTCCGTGACGTTCTTCAGAACCCTGGGATGTCGTCCGACTGCAGCTGCGTTCTGATCCGTGGCTGTGAAAACACAGAACAACAGAACCATGAAAAAAAAACAACATAAAACAAACATAAAACAAATCACAAATGGAAGAATCCAAGTGTCTGTTTTTAACGACTCCGACCTCAGAGTAATGTGACGTCGACGCCCCCTGGAATAAACTAACGTAACAGTTTACCAATGTGACGTCGACGCCCCCTGGAATAACCTAACGTAACAGTTGTGTAGTCGGTTCTTCTCTCCGTCTGTGAAGAACCTGTTTACCTTTTACTACAACTTATTGTTTGCTGTATTGAGGATGTCCTTGTTATTCAAACAGAGGCCCGGGGGCCACATGTGGCCCAGACACAGTGAAGTCAGTGAAGCGTTCAAGTGAATTCAAAAATTCAAAAATAAATAAATAAATAACAACACATTTGTGTTCTGGTGCACCAGAACATTCTGTGTGCGAGGCAGATACGGTACCGTAAAAACAGATCAAGGTTCCACCGAGACTTGAACTCGGATCACTGGATTCAAAGTCCAGAGTGCTAACCATTACACCATGGAACCTGTGAAGAAAAACACAAGAGAACGTTACAGAAAGAATGGAAATCAAACTTGTGACCTATTTGCTGTAAGGCAAGAGCACAAACCACCCATCCACCGGTGTGTCCCCTATTTTTTTTAAAAGTGACCAATGAAATTGCTGTAAGGCAATAGTAGATCTTTAAAGAGTAATTATATATTTTAAACCTTCTTCCATCTGCTGCCGCTGCTGCTGCTGGTGCTGCTGCTGCTGGTGGTTCAAACCTCTGGCCCGGGGTTAAAGTACAGTACAGCACAAGACGTCTCTTTATTTTTTTTTTCTCCAATAATTTTTTATTCATAATTTTAATATAAACAGTTAATTGTTGAATAATTTACACACAGCAAGATTTTTTATTTTCATATCATTGCAACATCTTCTGTACACGTCACTACTTGACTCTCCTTTGAAAACATAGAAAAAAATAAATCGTCAAGCGTTCATTTAGTCATGGCACATTTTTTTTTCTTTTAATCCTGTACAATATGTGTGTATTTCTGTCTGTGTGTGTGTGTGTGTGTGTGTGTGTGTTCAACATGTAGATATATGTGATACATAAAGTTAATGGCACATTTGGATCCAGTGTGAAGGATGAAGCGGTCTCTGTCGGGTTCCTGTAGGTTCAGGTATTTGGACTGTACATACACACATATACACCTGCCTGCATACGCACCAACAACGTGTACACCCGCCCCCCCCACCCATGCCCCCCCAACCCCTGAAAAAAATTAATACATCAGCATATTCATCTGCAATGAAAGGACAATAATAACAACAATAACAATAATAACAATAATAATAATAAAGAGGTATCCTGCAAAGACTACACACAGCATTCTGGGAAACCACCTATGTGCACCGAGGAGAGAAGGAGACTTGAAGGAGACACGGAGGAGACGGGAGGAGGAGGAGCGAGACAAAGGAAGGAAGCGGTAGAAAAAGGACGACACAGGACAGACACGTCCACGTCTTTAAACCACAGACAGCGACACAGGAGACGGGACAGAGAGACGGGTGTGTAAACTGGAGCAGACCACTGGACTGACATGGGGTCAAAAAGGTCAAGAAGAGGTCGCCTCCACCGTCTTGACGACACCCAACAACTGTGGTTCGTCCCTCCATCGTCAACCGAGCGTAACAGTGACGTCCTCCGTCCTAAAGCTGGGACTTTAGTCCTCAGATGAAGTCAACCTGGTAAAACTTCAGAGTCTTTGTCTCTGAACAAAACTGTATTTACTTCAATCAATTGTTTTTTTTTTAAAAGTACATCTACGACAGTAGATGAAAAGGTTTAAAACACGGAGTTAATTCTCAGATTTCATTTCCTCAGGACGCAAAACTCAGAAGACGAAGTGGGATTTTTTTTTCTCACGTCTCCTGAC